ATCTCCCAGGATGAAGTAAAGTACTAAGAACGGTACCTAGCAGAAAATGAGTTCTTTCTATTGCTTTTGAAACTGAGAAAGATTTTTAAGGCCCCAAGTGAACTGATTCGTCTCCACATTTAACGTGTTTGCATCTCAGTGCCCGGCGTGTCAGCAAAGGGCCCCCAGGTTCCCAGTACACACAGGAATCCAAAGCTCCATGATGAGGATGGGTTCAGGTCATGCACAGAGGAGCAAGGTTGGGTGGGGCCCACAGGACTTAGCTCCCTCTCCACTCTAATCCCCAGCTCTGCTCCTCACTCCCTGTGTGAACCTGGCAAAGTTGCTTAGCTTCCCTGAGCAAGTTTTCTTATCAGCAAGAGAAAGGTGTGATGGGCTCTACCCCAAGAAGTTTTCTTGAGTAATTACTGAATTAACATATGGAAAGGACATAGAATGTTTCGTTACCATCACTGTGTTAGGCCGAGCCACAATAAATAGCCACCATTTAACCTTCTGTGACCAACACAAGTCAATTTCACACCCCACACCCGATGCCCTCTCTGCACTGATGACCTCAGGCTCTGCAGCCTGAATGCTTAATTTCAAATCCACGTTTGCCTGTTCCTTCTAGTGACACTGATCAAGTTACTGACCAGTGCTCAGAAGGTGTCCAGTCTGCAAAACGGAGATATCAGTGCTACCATCCTGGGGTAATGGCAAGGACTAGATGATGAATAAAGCCGAGACCAAAGTGGGGCACAGAACATGAGCGTGATGAATATGCAGCCCAGTTATGTTTTCTGATTTGTAGCCCCGAGGATCCAGCCTCCTGGGTGGCCCATAGGCCGCTCCAAACCTTCCTCCTATGACTCTATCACCTCTTATTTGTCCAAGTTTAAAAGGCTGGGCTTCGTCCCTGCTCTCCCTGCCTTGCCATGAAATCTCCTTTCATTCCCTCTCCTGAATCCTCTCTCCATTCCACCTGCCTCCCTACAACCAGACACCAGGCCCTCTAGCTTGGGGATGTGCCAACCTCTGTCTTCCTCGCCTCACCCACCAGTCCTGCCCCTGCCAATCCTTTCCCAAAGTGATGCAGACAGGACACACATCGGACTGCCTCCAGCTCCTGCCATGGCTCTCCAGTACCCCCGTGAGATAAAGACTTACAAGGCCTTGCAAATTTTTGGCTCTGCTGATGCCTTTCTAGACCTGTTTCCCGTTCCTGCCATTGGTCCCTGGAGCTTCCCTCCTAAGCGCAGAGGCCTGGCTCAGCCGTCACCTCCTCCAGGATGTTCTCCTTGACTCCCAAGCCTGGGCCAGCTGTCACCTCTGGGTTCCCTGTACTTCCTCTATCGCTCTGAGAGTCACCTGAATATCTCCCTCATTAGACCGCAACTTCCTTGAGGGCAGCGACCCGGTCTCCCTTGTCCACCATCGTGCCCTCCCTGATGCCTACCAGGTCTCAATGGACATTCACTGAGTGCAGAACGTTAGTGCTTCTGGGCTCTCACTTGTTGCCGACTCCCCGCCTGCGCACCCCAGGCTGGACTCCCGAAGGGTTCTTCAGCAGGCAGGGCCTTCGGGCATGGGGACTTCAGGTGCAAAAGCGAGGAGGCCCGGCATCATGGATCCGACTCACCTCGCCCAGCGCTTGCAGGCTCTTCACCGCGCCCACAACGGCCTGGTGGTCCACGCCCAGCTTAGCTGCCAGGTCCGCGCTGTCCAGGCCGCCATCGGCCGCCTCTAGCTGCCGGAGCAGCACCTCCGCCACCGGGCCGTCCGCCATGGCTGCGGCCAGCGTGCTCGGCGTGTCCCGCCAGGGCCTGAACAACCGGAACCGGAACCGGAACCGGCGCCGAAGGAGTGTCGCCATCTTGAGTGTGGCCGACCTGTGGCGAGGCTCAGGATGCCGCCATCTTCAGTGTGGCGCCTGAACCTTAGAGGGTGGGAGAGACTCAGTGCCCGCCTCCGCCCTAGCTAGATTAGTAGTGTCTGGTTGACCAGGGACGCCAAATGGAAGACCTCAAGGACAGAATCGCAGCGTTGTTTTAACTTTCACCTAGCCCCACTTCCAGTAGACGGTGTGACCTTGGACTTCCCTCTCTCAGAGCCTAGGGGCCCTCTGCCCTTGTGGGATTCGCTTTTGGCCTGCAGGAGGGCTGTAGGTGGTGGGCTCCAGAGATAGTCATTCTGCTGATACCAATGACTTTTAAGTTTTAAGGGAGGCTAGGTAGGGACCATCCCTATTTATAAAGGGGAGAGGGACTCACCTAATAATAGTTATAGTCAAGATAGCAGCTAACCTGTTTGGACATCTCGTGATGTCCAGAGCTGCCCAGTACCAAGTGCTTCGGGTGTGTTACTTCATTTTCCCCAAAACTTTGATGTAAATATTAATATAATCCCCCTTTCACAGTTGTGAAAATGGAAGCTCAGAGGGTGATATGACTTCCCCAAGGTTCTACAAGCAGTTGGTAGAGATGGTGTCAGAAACTATAAACACTTCAGGGCGCCTGGGTGGCTCAGATGGTTAAGTGTCTGCCTTCGGCTCAGGTCATGATCCCAGGGTCCTGGGATCGAGTCCCGCATTGGGCTCCCTGCTCCTTGGGAGCCTGCTTCTCCCTCTGCTTTTCTCTCTCTCTCTCTCCCTCGGTCTCTCATAAATAAATAAATAAAATCTTAAAAAAAAAAAAAGAAACTATAAACACTTCAGATCCCACTCCAATCCCTGCATGCTCTGAGAAGATCAATGTGAGGGCAATTATGGATACCCTAATCAGTACTGTCCTATAGAAATATAATGCAAGACACAAATCTAATTTTAAATTTTCTAGTGGCAACGTTAAAAACAAAATGGATGAAATTAATTTGAAGAATCTACCAAACCTAGTATGTCCAAATTATCATTTCAATATTATAAAATTACTAATGGAATATTTTATGTTCTTTTTTCATAGTAAGTCTCCAAAATCTGATGCGTATTTTACACTTATGGCACATCTCAGTTGGGACCAGCTACATTTCAAATGGTCAATAGTCACATGTGGCCAGTGGAGATTAGACAGTGCAAGTAGATTCTAATCCCATTTATGCCACTCAGCCAAGTCGTTTAATCTTTCTGTGCCTGTTTCCTTGCCTGGATAGAGATGATATAAGCCCAGGTCATTGTGAGATTCAAGTGAAATACTGCCCACACACATATGCATACTCGCTAATACTAAATTGAGTGTGGACCACGTGACAAGCACGATCGTAAGCAGAACACCTTTACTCATTTAACCATCACAATTATGTGAGCCTGAAAAATGGGGTTACTAAGATCACCCGATCCTGACCCTACAGCGAGGTCCTTATAAAAATTCAGTATGTGGATCCACAAGTCCCTTCCTAGCTTCAAAACACTTCCCTTGTTTTTGTTTATTTAATTCCTCCAAGAGTCTTTCCTTCTTTCTGTCACACAACAAGTAGGTTTTAAGCCTCTTTTGTGGCAGGTGCTACAAGAGACACTGGGGGATGGTGAAATGAGTAAGACAGTCACAGTGTCTACCCTTAAGCAGGAAGCACCAAGCTCATGTGTGCGTGACATTATGGTGGAAGGGAGGGAAGTTGGGAGGGTCAGTGGCAGGCCAGGAGTGATCACCCCAAACTGGGGCTCCTCATGAAGGGGTGCAGGTTGGGTGATCCTGGATATGTCTGGGGCAGAACCCCAACTTCTCCAAGACTCCCCATTCCTTTTTCTGAGTCCCCACCACTATCAGGGAAGCACCCCTTCTCCCACTCTTTTGCCAGGATTCCCCCTTTCCCGAGTTCACTTCAATGTTCCCAGGTCCAGGGCCTGTTTGCTTAGAATTTGGGAAACCCCCAGATCTCCTTCCTGCTTCCTGCAGCTGAAGGGGGGGGCAGGGAGATGGTGTCAGTCACTGTCAGTCACGTGCCTCTGGCTTCAGAAGACTCTAGACTGAGGGGTCCTGCCCATCTCCCTTGGACTTTATCTTCCCCACCATCTGTCTCATTTTTTTCATCTCCAACGGAACCCCCCTCCTCTCCTCTTTAGCCGTTTAGTTGCAAAAGCCAGGCCGTTTGTGGGAGACCACAGGCAGCGACCCCTTTACCGGCTGAGGGGGGTTTAAAGGAGAGGCTGCAGTTAGAGGAACAATCCTACCAAACTCTAGGAGCCACAGCCAATAGTTACATCTTCTAGTCTTCTAGGCTTCCTTCTCTCTGTCCCAGGACAACCCCAACAGCTCTGAAAGCGGTTCTGTAGGGTGGCACCTAGCCACGGTTGCTCCTCCTAGCCTCTCAGGGGCTCCTGTGACTTCAGAGGCTAAGTGACTTGCCCCAGCCACACAGCAGCAGTCTGACAGGCTGTGAGGGCACTAGGGACCACTAGGGGCCAGAGAGGAGAGAGCGAGCACTTTACTCGCTAGCCTGCAAGGCTGTGGCACTGGGGTGACGTGAAGATCCAGGGCCCCAGCCCCTGAGCTCTGGTGCCCTTTGCCCTATCCTGGCCTGGGGCGGGCGAGAGCGAGAGCGAGGGCGTCGGAGTGGGGGCTCCCCAACTGCAGAGTAGAAAGTGGTTAGGAAAACCTTGCCCACACCTCCCGGCAGAGGAATGAAAGAGGGCGAGCTCGGGCAGGGTCCAGGTCCTGCGCGGTGACAACCGGGACTCGCGCGCGTTCTTTAAACGCCCAGACTCGGAGCAAAGCGCGCGGGCTAGGGCGGGGTTGGGTCGAGGTCTGGTCACATGACCTGGGCAGAGGGGCTCGAGGCCCCCACCGCACCGGTGGGCGGCCCCCACAACGCGTGGTCGACCTTCATTGGCCAGTTGTGTGGCCAATAGAAATCGGCCATCTGGGAACCCTGCGTTCCGAGGCACAGCCTAACCTGCTCAGACCACAAGGGTCCAATGGAAAGTCAGGGACGTGGCCGCAGGCCAATGATAAGGTGCAGAGGGCGGGACAAGAGGCCGAGCCAGGTTGGTTTGAGGGGCGGTAGGGTATAAAAGCGCGCGGCCGGCGGCAGCGTTTGTCCCTACTGCAGAGCCGCCGCCAGAGGAGAGATTTAAAGGGCCCGCGCGTCGCCGCCCCCTCGGCCCGCCATGCTGCTACCCGTGCCGCTGCTGCTCGGCCTCTTCGGCCTGGCCGCTGCCGAACCCGCCATCTACTTCAAGGAGCAGTTTCTGGACGGAGGTAAGGCCTGGTCCCGTCTCGAGGCCGTCCCGACTACGAGGGCGGCCCCTCAGCCTAGATCTGCGTTGTCCCCCTGTAATTATTGCTTAGAGGACCAATACGGTGGCCTCCGGGGATGAGAGCCGCAGGCGAGCCTCCCTTCCATGTCCCTGGGGAGCGTCGAGGGTGCAGCGGACTCCTGCGGCGGGAGTTAGGATTCGCTGAAGGAGCCCTTAAGCCATCGAAGGTGTCAAACTAGAGGATGGGGTGGGGTCAGTCAAGGGGTATCTGTTTCCCAGTCCTCAGCAATTTGAGGCCATTGGCAGATAATCGGTGGGGAGAGATCAGTACGGCCGCACTGACCTGCCCCTTTGATCCCCTAGACGGGTGGAGCGACCGCTGGATCGAATCCAAGCACAAGTCAGATTTTGGTAAATTTGTCCTCAGTTCCGGCAAGTTCTACGGTGACCAGGAGAAGGATAAAGGTAAGGGCTTGAGGCGGGTGGGTGTTCGGATTCAGGAGGACTTCCTGGAGGAAGCCCTGCGCGCACACACAGCCTGGGTATCCCCACGAGCAGGGCAGGGGGTAGGAAGGGGCAGTCCTCTGTCTCTCCAATGCTTAGGAGCCCCGGAGATTGGGGCTGAGCCATGACCTCACTGTGGTCTCCTGCTAGGGCTGCAGACGAGCCAGGATGCCCGCTTTTACGCTTTGTCGGCCAGATTTGAGCCCTTCAGCAACAAGGGCCAGACACTGGTGGTGCAGTTCACCGTGAAACACGAGCAGAACATCGACTGTGGGGGCGGCTACGTGAAGCTCTTTCCAGATGGTCTGGACCAGACCGACATGCACGGAGACTCTGAATACAACATCATGTTCGGTGAGGGGCCCCGCCCTGTTGCTGACCTTTGATTCATTAGAGGGAGACTGAAATCTCAGGGGTTCCTTAAAACCCCCACAGGTAGTTTTGAGAACACAAAAAGTACTTACGGAGTTAAGGCTTGTCTTCGGAAGGGAGGCTGAGAACGTTGCATTGTTATTTTTGGTCTGAAACTGTTAGTTTACGGGATTTTCTGTAGTTATTTCCTGATATTACCAGTGAGGGCATTAAATTCTAGAGCCGATTTTTGTTTGTTTTGGTTGTTTTTTTTTTTTCCTTTTTAAAAGGCTCACTTTAGCTTCTTAGAACCAGTCAGGGTCTGATTCCGGTCCTGTGACCCTTTACAGACCTGAATTTAAGAACCGAGTCTTCCTTTGTGAAGGGGAGCTTTGCAATGGCAGGCAGCTTCTTGCTCTAACTGAACCCGCTTTTCACCTAGGCCCCGATATCTGTGGCCCCGGCACCAAGAAGGTTCACGTCATCTTCAACTACAAGGGCAAGAACGTGCTGATCAACAAGGACATTCGTTGCAAGGTGTGACTGGGGGTGGTGACAAATGGCTGATAGGGGAGTCTCAGAGAGACCAGCCTGGTGGGCGGGGCCACTCATCTCCCACCCTTTTCAGGATGATGAATTCACACACCTGTATACCCTGATTGTCCGGCCGGATAACACCTATGAGGTGAAGATTGACAACAGCCAGGTGGAATCAGGCTCCTTGGAGGATGATTGGGACTTCCTCCCTCCCAAGAAGATAAAGGATCCTGATGCTTCGAAGCCTGAAGACTGGGATGAGCGGGCCAAGATTGATGACCCCACAGACTCTAAGCCTGAGGTTGGTGCTTGGGCAGAGGCTCCCCACATGGAGGGTGCAGGGGACAGCTGGGTTGCCTGACCTTTTTGTGTACCCTCAGGACTGGGACAAGCCCGAGCACATCCCTGACCCTGATGCGAAAAAGCCAGAGGACTGGGATGAAGAGATGGACGGAGAGTGGGAGCCACCTGTGATTCAGAACCCTGAGTATAAGGTGAGCCTGGGGCTCTGAGCAGGGTGGGGGGTGCCCAGTGGGGAGCACACTGACCTCCACTCAACTGCTGGTTCCCTTCCCCTTCTGCAGGGCGAATGGAAGCCCCGGCAGATCGACAACCCAGATTACAAGGGCACTTGGATCCACCCAGAGATTGACAACCCTGAGTACTCCCCTGATGGCAACATCTATGCCTATGAAAACTTTGCTGTTCTGGGCTTAGATCTCTGGCAGGTGAGACATAGAGGGGATTCCTGGAGTACTTCAAATGTTCAGGGTCATCCAGGAGGAGAAAGGGGTAGTAGCATTCAACTCCAGGCAGATCTGAGCCCAAACTGGTACTTTTCCTGAAGAATTTCCTGGTCTGTGTTCGTGGAGTTGTCCCAGCACCCCCTTTGAGGTTTCGCTTATTATGTGCCAGATACTTTTCTGCTAAGTTCCTTCACGCAAACAAATGTGTTTAACTGCCCTTAACGGCTAGAGGTTGGTTAGATAACCTTGTTAGAAAATTAGTTTCAGGGGTACTTGTTTGACTCAGTTGGCAGAGCATGCAAATTTTGATCTCACAGGCATGAGTTCGAGCCCCACATTGAGGGAGTAGAGCCTACTGGGAAAAAAAAAAAAAAAACGTAACTACTAGAAAAAATTTTAAAAAACTCCCATTTCAGAAGAGCCAAATTTTAATTTTATTCGCTAATAAACATTTTCTGCCTAGAATGGTGCCTGGCATGTAGTGGGTCCTAGGAAAATATTCGAAGAGCCTGAGCGAGCCCCTCTTTTACAGATGAAGAAATCGCAGGGCATTGTGTAGTTGTCATGGGAACATGGGGGCGGGGTGGGGGCTTGTCCAAGGCCGGGGACGTCCGATGTCTGCTCTGACGCCTCTCCATCCATCCTGCCCCCCGCCCCAGGTCAAGTCTGGCACCGTCTTCGACAACTTCCTCATCACCAACGACGAGGCATACGCAGAGGAGTTTGGAAACGAGACCTGGGGTGTCACGAAGGTGGGACCGGGGTCTGCTCCTGGGCTCGGTGGGTCTAGGCAGGTGCGGCGGGTGGGGGGCCAGGCCGCTGAGGTGCAGTGGTCTGTGCGCAGGCGGCTGAGAAGCAGATGAAGGACAAGCAGGACGAGGAGCAGAGGCTAAAGGAGGAGGAGGACGACAAGAAGCGCAAGGACGAGGAGGAGGCGGACAAGGACGAGGACGAGGAGGACGAGGACGACAAGGAGGAGGAGGAGGAGGAGGACGCCGCCGCCGGCCAGGCCAAGGATGAGCTGTAGGGCCCGTGCCGCTGCCTCCGGGGCTGGACTGAGGCCTGAGCGCTCCCGCCGCAGAGCCGGCTGCACCACATAATGTCTCTATGAGACTGGAGAACTTTTCATTTTTGTTTTTTTTTTTTTCCAGGCGGGTTCTGATCTGGGGTGGATTTTGGTTTTTGTTTCCTCCCCTCCTCTTTTTTTTTTTTTTTTTTTTTTCTTTTTCCCCCTCCCCTTCTAAACTGGTGTTTTGTCTTTGATTCTCCTTTCGTTCTTATTCCTGACCTCATTTTTCTTGATTGACATCTCTGCCTTCCTCTGTCCCTTTGTCTCCCCGGATCCCTTAGTTCCCCTCCAACCTGAGGGGGCAGGGGAGGGTGGAAGGGAAGCCCCAGGCCCAAGATTCCATCTGCTTTCTTTCCTGGATCCCGGAGGGGGGCCGGAGAAGAGGGGGGGGGCATCCCCAGCCCCCAGCACTGAGGAAGAACTAGGGCTCCTAGGGCCTGAGCTTTGACCCCCACCCACCCACCCACCACCTCCCTTTTTCCCCCCTGCTCCCAGGATCTGGGCCCCTTCTGGGTGGGGCAGTGGGTTCCAGCTTGGCTCACACTGAGAATGTAAGGACTACAAACAAAATTTCTATTAAATTAAGTTTTGTGTCTTCCTCCTGTGTTTCCTTCTGGGGGAGGTGACTCGAGTAAGGCTCATTTTCCAGCGGCTAAAGTGTTGGTTGAATGTCCCATAAGGTTCCAGGGCCTGTTGTTTACCCCCACAACCTCAAACCAGTGAGAGAAGAGTGATTGTCCTGAGTGCCATTACAAATACTCTTCATATTAACTCATTGAGTCTTTGCACCAAACTGGTGAGTTTTGTTTCTAGTTCCCGTTCGGTTTGATGAGGAGGTCGAGCTCCTGAATTTAAGGAGTAAGGCAGGGCTCTGAACCCACACCGTGGCACCATTTCATGCCGTCCATTTTACACTCAACCGTACATGCCTCTTAATGAGCAAGACTACATAGAACAGTTGGACCATTTTAAACGTTTTCTTTAAGATTTTATGTATTTGACAGAGACCGCGAGGGAGGGAACACAAGCAGGGGGAATGTGAGAGGGAGAAGCAGGCCTCCCGCTGAGCAGGGAGCCCGATGCGGGGCTTGATCCCAGGACTCTGGGATCATGACCCGAGCTGAAGGCAGACATTTAACGACTGAGCCACCCAGGCGCCCCTAAACTTTTTTTTAACACTAGTCCGTGTTAGAAGTTACTTCTATAATAACATAGGTATAGAGATGGTAAATAGCACTGTTGGTGGTCTTTGAATTCTTAGAGGGAAAGAGATGACAGACCAACAAGGTCTAGGGCCCCTGAGGCTTAGCCCATCTCTTGGGGTCCGTGAGGCTGCCCCTGAAGTTCAGTAGGTGGTCTGGAGCTCATGTCCCTTGTTGCAGGAGAGAGGCAAGAAGGCCTCAACAGCCTGGCCTACTGTGGTGGAAACATGTAGGCTCTGCCTGCGCTGAAGGGAAACACGACAGGACCTGGTTACAGTTGGGCAACGGGTGAGGTGTCAGGTAACTGGTTCTGGGCTTGCGTTGAGTGCTTGAATGGAAACTAAAGAGCAGGTTTGGAGGCAGGTAATGGTCAGTTCAGGATGGGAGGACCTCCACCCAGTAACTGGGAGATACTCTCAGCCTTGCCTCCATCCAGTCCCCCAAAGCACCATCTTCAGCTTTGGCCAACTAATCCTTCCATTCCTTGTTTGGTGGATGGGCCTCCATGCTTCCCACCTGTGTCCTGTGGCCCAGCTCCACCCCTCTGGGTAGTCTCCAATTGAATTGGTGCATCCAGGGAAAGTTTATGGAGAGAATTCTGTATTCAGTGTAGGGAGGCCTTGAAAGGTGACCGTTTCCTTAAATACTTGTGGGGTCAGACTGGGGATAGTGGGGTGAACAAAGTGGTCGGGGAAGGAGCAGCAGAGAGGTGGGACACCCAGGAACTACTACTATACGTTCATTCCAAAAATCCAGTTCTCCCTCAGGAATGTATGAGGTCCCAAGTTGGCCCCCTGGCCCTCCTTCCACGGCCAAATAATGGTTTTTAGAATTTTCATCTTTTTAATTAATTGTTGGTGACCTTTTGAGTATCTTCCAGTCTTAAGGGTTCCTATGAGGGTGGCCACACCAGAACAAAACTCATTTGGTAAACAAAAAAACCCCCAAAATACAAATATCTACAAGTACATTAAAAATTTTGTTCAAGGTAATCAACAGAAACTCATACGGGCATGAAAGGCGGCATGTCGGAGCCATTTTGTGGCCGTATGACGTCACCGCTAACGGGCGTGGCGTCACTCAGGAAGCCACGTGATGTGTATGCGTGTTGAATGAGAAGCTCCCTCCGGGAGCCGAGTTTAGTCTGCGCATGGCTGGCCAAAGGCCTCCCTCTTGCGCATGCCCACCAAGACTAAGGGGGGGGGCGCAGGTCACGTGCTCTGGTGGTCGGCGCGCGCACCGCCTGCCCCGGAAGCGGTCGCCTCGCGGCGCGGCTGGGCGCTAAGATGGCGGCGGCGTGAGTTGCATGTTGTGTGAGGATCCCGGGGCCGCCGCGTCGCTCCGGCCCCGCCATGGCCGTCACCATCACGCTCAAAACGCTGCAGCAGCAGACCTTCAAAATCCGCATGGAGCCTGACGAGACGGTGGGAGCTGGACCGGAGCCCGGGGGTGGGAACGACGGGTGCCGGGGGGGCGGGGTGGGGGGGGGTGGGGTGGGGGAGTGGGGGCGGGGAGGACGGGATCCCGACAGGAGGGGCGGGGAGGACGGCGCGGGCAGGGCTCTGCCCACCCCTTCCAGCCTGCCTGACTTGCCCGAACCTCCGTTCGGTTCTCGGCTCAGACCCGGGCGACTCGTGCTGATGGCGCTTATGGGCCGGTCTCCGGACGAGGCCCCACCCCCGGGGCACCCATCAGGCCCCAGCTCCAATGTCAGCGCCCTCGCGGGTCGCGGGAGCCGCAGGTTCAGATTCCCGGCCGGGCCACGCTCTCCGGGACGGGGGCTCCGAGTTCCCAGCTTTGCAGGCGTCTCCTCGGGACGTTGGTGGCCGAATTTGGGAGTAGTGACCAGGAGATGCCGAGTGGTGACGGCAGTGACGATGATAATGTTAATAAACGATCTCAGTTTCAGTGGTCTGTGTTTGTTGGCGGTTTGTTCTTTACCGGCTGCTGAGCGATTGTTATCTTACTAAAGATGCAAAACAGACTTACCATTTGAGCGTTCTTGATTCCTGTACTCCATTTTATAGATGTGGAAATTTAGGAATTAGGGAACTTTGCTACAGTCACAGAAAGCAAGTAATGGCAGAACGGGGACTCATATTTGGTTTTGCCTCATGTGAGAGTCCGTAGTCTAAACATTGCGCTGCATTTTTAGCTGAAAAGAGGCTTATGACCTAACAGACATATTGAACGTCTGTGTGTTTGGCACTCTGCACAACTATCTCATGAAGAAGACATTGAACTCTTATGTGTTGTAGAAAAGGAAGCACTCATGTTTTTCGATCAGTCTAAATATTTGAATTTGGGCAAACTATCTAATATCTCTGTACCTCTGTTTTCTCAAATATAAAACGGGGCTATCGATACCTCCTTTATGCAGTGGTGAGGCTTTAAAAGTGACATGTATACACTTAGGTTAGTATTGTCCGTGTAAGATGCCTTTGGCAAAAACCGAGCACTGTCAGCAGTATGGAATGAAGAATCTTATCTCCCTTTTATTCTATTTAATTTTTCATCATATTTTACATTATCTGAAGTTATATTTGTTTTCTCTTTTCCTCGCGTTAGTGTTATCTCCGCGGAAGCGGGGACTTGTGTTGAGTGTTGTTCCTTGTTATGTTGTATGCTCAGTACCTAGAATAGCACCTGGTGTGAAGTGTTTGGTAAACACTCCGTTGAATGGTGGGATGAGCAGACAAATTCGAATCTGGCATGGTTGATTGTGAAGCTTAGTTTCTCTGCCATTGAGGCTTGTAGCCCCCCCCCCCCCCCGCAAAAGAAAGAATCTTGAGGTTTGCAATGAGTGTTCCTCTCTTTCCAGGTGAAGGTGCTAAAGGAAAAGATAGAAGCTGAGAAGGGTCGTGATGCCTTCCCCGTGGCTGGACAGAAACTCATTTATGCTGGCAAGATCCTGAGTGATGACGTGCCCATCAGGGACTATCGCATTGACGAGAAGAACTTTGTGGTCGTTATGGTGACCAAGGTGGGTGAAGGGTGCTGGTTGGGAGGGTGGGTGAATTGGCTGGGGAGCTGACAAAGAGCCAGTGTGCCCGGGAGAGATTAGCTATGAATAGGGCGGGGCTGAGATGGGATGGGGTGTTGGGGCTAGATAGGGGTATTGATGCCTGCTCCTTTTTCTGGGTGTCACAGGCCAAAACTAGCCCAGGCACCTCAGTACCCCCAGAGGCCTCACCCACTGCTGCCCCGGAGTCCTCCACATCCTTTCCTCCGGCCCCTGCCTCAGGCATGTCCCATCCCCCACCTGCTGCCAGAGAGGACAAGAGCCCATCGGAGGAATCAGTCCCCACGACATCCCCGGAGTCTGTGTCAGGGTAAGGCCAGGGAGCAGAAGCCCCAGCTTGGGCCCTGTCCTCCCAGCACCCTCCAACACATACATGTTTCTGCATACTTGGGGGAGGGCAAGCCGCCAGAAGCCAGGGTCCGATTTCTCTCTCTTGAATTTGCAGCTCTGTTCCTTCTTCAGGTAGCAGCGGGCGAGAGGAAGACGCGGCATCCACGCTAGGTGGGTGGGTGGTCCCCAGGGCAGAAGCAGTTGGGTGCCCTGGCCGGCAGCTGGGCCTTGTGTGGGTGTGGGAGGGCCTGGGAGCTACCCTTCCCCCTCCTTGGTGACCAAGGCCTTGCTGCTCCCTCCACAGTGACTGGTTCTGAGTATGAGACGATGCTGACAGAGATCATGTCCATGGGCTATGAACGGGAGCGGGTCGTGGCCGCCCTGAGAGCCAGCTACAACAACCCCCACCGAGCCGTGGAGTATCTACTCACGGTGAGGTGGGGCTGCTCCCTCCTGGGGAGGCCTCAAGGGAGTACATGGGCTTACGTGCCCTGATGGGTGG